CAGATGTTCTGGTGGGTCACATCCCGTCTTTATATATATAGAGAGAGAATGTTTGTGCGACACATGCACCATAACTGTAGGATTTTAGATGCAAGGAAGGATAACAAAGGTGAAACAATATTTTAGCAAAAAATGGCAATTGTTTATTATACACAGTGGTTTAGCAAACTAAGTGTCATCCAGTTAGGGTTTAGATCTACTTCAAAGCAGACCTTCACGCCAAATTTGAAGTTGCACAACTGTAACCCCCTCCGCAATCCAAAAATGTAACTTTTTTTGGTTCAGGTACCTTTTTTTTAATATTTGCACTTCAGTCCCCCCTCCCCACCCCCCTGCCTTCATTCCCGCCTAGGCGAGGAATTGTGGTGCAGCAGGCACAAAACACCCCACATATCCCAGGAGCCATTGGCTTCCACATACAGTGCCATGAGGAAGTGGTACCTGGCGCTTGTCATCAGGTGTGTGGCTGTCTGAACCAGGAAGAGACAGTTGGCTTTCAATGACATCAGAATGGAAGATGGCTGCATGGGACCTTGCACGTGGTGGTGGAGCAGCTGATGACTACAGAGCAATTCTGGATTCGTTGGGAAGGTGAGTATGTCATATCTCAAATATGTGGGTGGACAGTTTTACAAAAAGTCTCAGCCATACCAGCAGAGGGGTGTCTACAGAAACTCAAAAATCCAAGTCAAACTCAAATCAGAGTCTCCCCTTACATCAGAGTCCCCAAAGTCCCTCATTACATCAGAGAGTCCCTCATTACATCAGGGCCTCCCCTTACATCAGAGCCTCCCCTTACATCAGAGTCCCTCCTTACATCAGAGCCTCCCCTTACAACAGAGTCCCCAGAGTCCCTCCTTACATCAGAGCCTCCCCTTACATCAGAGTCCCTCCTTAATTCAGAATCTCCCTTACATCAGAGTCCCCAGAGTCCCTACTTGCATCAGAGTCCCTCCTTACACCAGAATCCCCCCCTTATATCAGAGCCTTCCCTTTACATCAATGCCCTCCCTTACATCAGTGTCTCCAGAGCTCCCCCTTACATCAGAGCCCACCTTACATCAGAGTCCCCAGAGCTCCCACTTACATCTATACAGCAGGTGTCCCTAGTGGTCCTCGGGCGAGTCATCTGATTATATGGATTGTTTTATACATAAGTATATTTCCGTTATAGTGCCTCCTGAAACTTACAAGGCAGTACATTAGATTTGATTTACTTAATGAGTACAACCTAATGGAAGGATATGAAGGTTTAAAATGTTTGAGGATCCACATTCGTTTTTTGCCTGTTGATATACAGGTAAGTATGTTACTTAAAGATAAGCCAGTGAAAAAAAGGTAAGTGGAGGTTGAAAAAAACCCCCAACAAAACAGGGTTCATCTTTTACTCCTAAAACTCTTATTTGAATATACTCACTTCATCAGAAAGCTTTGTATTCTGAGCATGCAGCCCATTCCTGAAAGCAGGAAGTGCTGAGATCCAGAAGAAATTGCTATAAGATAAATATATCTATCTGATGATCATTGATATTAGATTGATCAAATATTTTTTTTTATCCCATAGATTGTTTCTCGCTGTGACATAATGCTGCTGATGGAGATCAGAGACAGCAAAGACGTAGCCATACATGCTCTGATGGCAAAACTCAACAGGTAACATCAGCGTTCTGTGCTTTAGGTAGGAATATGGTAATTCAAGTATAATGCCTGACAAGAAGTAAAATTAATCCATGAAATTCGAATGCTATTCACAAAACATTGCAACTCTATAGGTAAAGTAGAACAAAAATCCATTGCAGCCAGAATTTAGCGAGCTTGTACATGCGTCCTGAATCTGTGATGTTCTATTTTCCCTCCCTCTCTCTCTTTCTCTTTCTCTCTCTCTGTATGTACGGTTTAGGGTCTGTAGACAGAAATAAAGTCTGTTTGTGGTGTGAACTAGCTATTACACACAATATAGCCTAATTCAGATTACTGTGCTGCGCATAGCTTGTGGAGAAAGCAGAACAGTAGGGGGAACCCAGCACGTCTACCCACCACAGGCTGCCTAGAAAAGACTAGAGGGCGCAGATACATGACCAGTCACCCTGCACAAGAAGAGAGGGCAGCAGTGACTGGTCTTTATTACAGGAAACTGTACAGGGAAGTGCAGGAGGTGTTTAATTCTGGAGTACTGAACAGATCTGAAAGAAATGCACAAAGGACACCAACATTCAAGTTAGAATACACATTGATATCAGCTTTATTATAGACACCACGTGGCCTAAAGGGTTTACTAATACTTTTCTTCTTTTACTTGCACTTTCAGCCACACAAAAGGGAAACATGAGTTTAACTTACTCATTAGTGAGAGACTTGGCCGCAGTATGTCCAAAGAGCAGTACGCCTTTATTTATAGGTAAGTGGATTGTTGGCTGTCAGACAGCTATCTTGCAGCATCAAGTAAAGAACATTCTACAGGACTATATTTATGAAAGTAGAAAAACTGCCTATGTTGTCTATAACAATTACATTTTTCCATACATTTCCTCACCTCTGCTTATACAGTACAAACTGGAATTTTATGTATTTCAATACAATACCAATTAGAAAAAAAAAATCCAGCTTGGCCAATTACTTGGCTCCAAGCCTACCTGGCCCTGTTATGCCCGCTAGGGTAGGGAAGGGCCCTAACTACTCAGACTGGGTGTTCATTCTCTCATGTCTGTAGACACATGTATCCATGTGGTCGGGGCACTATGAGAGGAAGCTAGCCTACTAACATATTTTGGAATTGCAGGAGGTGAAACTAGTATCTCTATGCAATACAGAGCAGTTGAACTTTGTTTAGGCCACTAGCCAGTAAGAGAGCAGAATGGAAGGGGGAATGGCCCCCACCCCTCTGCATAGCAAAACTATTAGTTTAAGCATTCCTATAAGTATTATTTGAATCTAATAATATTACATATACTAATATAGTTATGCATAATGTAATGTTCTTACTTATAATACTGCCCTAATTAAGAAATACAACAGTAGGAAGATGGCATTCCTAACCTTTTAAGCTGTTACATAATCTCAGTAGAAGTATTCTGCATTGAGTGACCCCCACAGACTAGCTCAGTAATTAGGAAGGAGGGGAAGTTGTTCTAGCCCACATCTACAACATCTTTTAAACATATATTCTTACAGATTTCTAGACATAGCTAAAATTATAGATCACCATTCATTTTATTGTGAGTCCATACATCCTGAAAGGAACCAAGTTTTACTTTATTTAAGCTCTGAAGAAGGGGGATTGTGTGAACCCCTAAAAGGTGTTGGACTCAAATTGTGGTGGCGTCTCGTCTGTCCTTTTTCCATTGTAACCAAAATTATAGACCCTATAAAGTCTGCTTGTGTACATCCCCACATCGAACATATAAAAATATAGAAAAACAATACTTTTGGAACCTCCTAATTCATACATATTCCCTATATGAATAACACCTTATAAATATCATTAGTACTATTAGTAAGGATTCTAAAGAAACAAAAAAGAGCACTTATGCAAACCCTCGTACAACGCCTAGAACAGTGGTTCTCAACCTTTCTAGGGCCGGGACCCCTTGGTAACATTTGCCAAGTTGTGGTGACCCCCAACAGTAAAACTTAGGGATGACGCGGCTGCTGCAGCGACATCTGGCGGGGTGGCGGGAGAACTGACACTGCTGCGCTAGGAGAGGGCTGAGGAGGACTCTCACCTAGCACAGCAGAAATCACACAGCGACCCACAGGTTGAGAACCACTGGCGTACGCCGTCAGAATAAAAATAAAAATTAAAAAAAAAACACCATAGGAATGCATAGCTAGATTCCTATTGGCTATTTCACTTTGCAATAGCCAATAGCAAACTAGCTATTGCACCCGCCCTCTGCTGCTGTCAATCACTAGAAGAGGACCTGATGGAGAACTGCAGGTCCCCCTCTGCTGATTGGCATCAGCAGAGGGTGGGTGCAATAGCTAGTTTGGTATTGGCTATTGCAAAGTGAAATAGCCAATAGGAATCTAGCTATGCATTCCTATGGTGGTTTTTTTTCTTCTGACTTACGGCGGCCGGCAGCCCCCGATGTCAGAAAAAAAGCGATCGCAGGGATCGATTGAGCAGAGTAAACCTTTCCGGGAGAAAGTGTTTCTCTCCCGGGCGCCGCTATCTAATAGCGGGAGACTCCCGGACGACCTCTGGCAAATCGTCATTCGACGACCCACAGATTGATAACCACTGGCCTAGAGGGTGTGTGAATCCAGGGCCCCAGCACTGCTAGGCAAAATGCTAACTAAAGGGCAACTCAGAGAGTACTTCTTTCAAACAGTTGGGTGAATAAGGCCCAGGGCATTGTTAGGCATGTTTGCCAAAGCCACAGAGATGATTTCTTAATCAGCATGTCACACCACTCTGAAGAAATTGTATATATTGTTGTCATTGCAGAAAGAATTCAGTGACAGTGATAGACTTTTATCAGTATAAAGACCAGCAAGCCGGAGACGTGGACGTCTTTTCTAGAGAACCCTTTATTGTCTGGTTTAAATCCTTAAATACGGGTAATACTTGGTGGACAAATATAATTTTCTTTCTGTTTTTTCTAAATGGTCAGTACAAATATTGTCATTGGTCAAATGCACAGACCTCATATATATATCCATATTGACCTTTGATGGGAAATGAGAGTATATGTATAGCCTAAATGTATTTATTTTTCTTCTGTTTTTGGATAGATTCCCTTTCTATTTCTCCTGGTGAATATTGTCACCGGGACAGAAAGTGACGGAAACATCCAAAATTTTAAGTTGTCACCTAAACAGAAACTGAGGGTCATGAAGACTTTTTTTTCGAGTAGAAGCTGTCTTGAAGGATTTCCTTTGCTTTAAAGACACATCTACAAGAAGTGACTACAGGAAATATCTACCATAGCTTTTTGAACACTGGTCAGTGGAGCAACATTACAAATAGGGGCAGAACTACAGATCATGGGACCCCATAGCAAACATTCGAAGGCGCCCCCTGATATCCTCCCTACTATCATTGATAGTGAAGTAGGTCTAATTCAAGGACTCGTATCTGTGGACAGAAGCTGTCAGGGAAGAGAAGGGCATCAGATTATTAAGATTAATTTAAAGTGATATTAAAGTCAAAACATTTTTAAGCTATTGCAAATGCTGATGAAATCACTTACTGCCCCTTCATGTATAAAAGTCTTAGTTTCCTGTAGAATCAGCCGACTCGAGCACAGGCCCTGATATCCTGTTTAAGGGTGGCTCCTTTGCCTTGCAGGGTCATAGAGTTACCCTTGTATGTGCTAGTAAGTTGTGTGTGTTTCCACAAGCACTCAGGCACAGTAAGGCGAGCCACTCACCTGCTCCCCGCTCCGCCCCCACCCAAGAGAACGTTAAAGAAAATCCCACACACCTCACATCGCCGTACACCTCACATCGCCAACCTGCACATCTCACAGTGCTTCTGTTGGCACACACATCTCCCCTGATGAGATCCTCCCCATGTGCCCCCTGGTGAGATTCTCCCCACGTGCCCCTGGTGAGACCCTCCCCATGTGCCCCTGGTGAGACCCTCCGCATGTGCCCCTGATGAGATCCTCCCCATGTGCCCCTGGTGAGACGCTCCGCATGTGTCCCTGGTGAGACCCTCGGCATACGCAACTGGGGAGATCCTCCCCATGTGCCCCTGGTGAGATCCTCCCCATGTGCCCTTGGTGAGATCCTCCCCATGTGCCCCTGGGGAGACCCTAGGCGTTTTCCCTTGGTGAACTCCTCCCCATGTGCCCCTGGTGAGACCCTCTGCATGTGACCCTGGTGAGACCGAGAAAAAAATCTTGCACCAGGGCCCTTTGTGTTGGATATGTAGTATCACACCTCATGAGTCTGAGTGCATGGGAGACATAGAGAAGCACCCTGAACTTGGTGCCCACTCCTAACCACTTCCTCTATGCAGCTCCCCACCGGACCCTCTGCAGTAACTAAATGCTATTCAAAGGAACAGTAAACATTTCCATTAGCTGTGAAAGATCAGCTTTGACTATCACAAGATTGCCTATTTAGTTTGTTGGAAACAATATCCATAATCAATGTAACTTTATCGGCAACGCACAGATTGCTAAGAGTAATACACACAAGTGATATATTCCATCAAGAAATATGAGATTTATAAAAGATATGTTTTCACCACCACCATCGACCCTTAAAAATGTAGTACATACAACAAAACTATTATGTATTCGTAAACATACCAGACATGTATGATCGATAACCTGTCATATAGTTGTGGAAGTGTCCCTGCACAGCTTTGAGGTAAAGGACAACTGGACAGAAACCCTTCCCCCTTGGCTGTTTGTTAATTTTTTTGAGGGGGTCGACAGTAATGTTGGAGGGGTGTTGGAAGAGGCGAAACTATAGCTATAGCAGCCCAGGTGGCTGCTATGGGGTCTGGCAGTGGAAGGGGGCCCCGTTAGGTTGTTGAGGCAAATAAAACATAGAACATGTGACGATAAAGAAGTACTGTATCAGGACTGTAATGGATGGAGTGGTTGCAGTTGACGACAACCCTAATCCCCGGCAAGTCTACAGTGTAAGAGAGCAGATGTCAGATGCACAAGAAGAGTGTTTGGGATCTTGGTGAGGTTGGTCACGTTGGAGGTCATCAGGAGGGCCCCAATTCAATTTTTGCTATGGAGTCCAGTGATCTCTATTTATGCCCCTGGGTGCTGGGTCCAAACTTTGCATGGGGCTCCAAAATCTTTACTGTGCACTGGGGCTCCTATATCTATTGCCAGCCCCCTGCATAGTTGTCCATCGCGTTTCCATTGCTAGTCTCATGTTCCCGGGATTTATCTGTGCATATTTTTGATAACAGACCAATAGCACAATAAAATTATTTGAGCACTATGTATTCCCCTGCACAGCAAAAATCAAACTGAGAGATGGAAGGCCATTGCTGCCAGCCAGGCACCTTGCATTGCAGGGTATTGTCAGGTTAATACAGGGAGATGGAAACAGAGAGAGGACTATCAGTGTGCCGCTCCTGCTTCATGACACTGTTGCTTTTCTTATTCGAAGAACAGAAAATGGTGTCACCCTCCCGGCTATTCAGTGATGTAGGAGTGTGTAAATCACATACATGCCTGAACAAATATTTTGGCATATAAAACATCTCCTCTATGTGTATTTTAAATGTGTTGGCTATTTGGTTGGAGCTCAACTTTAAAAAGGAATTGAAAGCTGTGTCAAAAAATAAAAGGCAGACAGAGTGCAAAGGGCTAATCACCAATATTGCCTGTGGTCCCCCTGCAGATGGTCTGTCCACTAATGTGCCTCCAACGTGGGGTCAGCTATTTTGGCAGAGGCAGGATTTTGCTTCTTTATGAGAGAGCCTCCAGCAAGGAGAACAGTAAGCAGCATAGTAGTGACATCACCAAATTTCGCTCCAAATTTCCTAAGACTATCAGATCTCACAATGGAGATATACAACCATTAGGGATTTGGCACTGGAGTGCCTAGGCACCCTCACTTACCAGGAAGTTTTTCAGAGTATTGCTTGGGGAATAATTAACACTTCTAAATATTCCCTATAATGTGGCAACTCTTCACTTTTTGAGTTCAGTTCCACTTTTAAACTACAATTTGCCCCATAAAAGTAGGATCACTAAAAATTGCTATTTTAGTACCAACTTATTTTTATTACATCCTTGTGTAGTAAATGTTTGTAATATTTCCTATTGTAAGGTCTAATAAGGAACAAGCATATTTCTGAATGCATGAATAATGCCACTGGACACATCTGTACCCCACAGCCACAATATATCTGTGATGTCTCAGCACTCTGTGTTTTCTCCTCTTCTCTTTCCATACACAAGAAGTGAACGACTTTGTCATCATCCCCCAGCACACAGTGCCTGAGGACGCCGTCCGCGAGATCGATGAACTCTATGATGTTTATCTCGAAGTTCGACAGACATGGAACACAGAGGTTAGTTGGGATCCTTCCTGATTTATTCACGAACAACGCTTTACTTCAGCTTTTCTTGGTTATTTCAAGGAGCGGAAACTCGAATAAACATCATTTGTGTGGATCTCCATCTATCCTTATGTGTAGAAGCATGGAAGAGCTCCATCTCTCACATTGTAACCAATAGTAGCATTTTTTGTTGCCAGGGCCATCGCTATGATGAGGCGGCCTGAGGCAGATGCTTCAGACGGCATCTCTTAGAGCACACCTGCCATCCCCTTTCCAGCCAGAGCGTCTACGTTGCTAAGAGCTCTTAGCTGGACAGAGGCAGACCTGAAGTAATATGCCATCTCACCCCTGGCCCTCCCCGTAATGTGCACCACCTGTACACCCCTGGCCCTCCCCGTAATGTGCATCATCAGCTGCCAGCCCAACATCTTCCCATCTCTGGTAACATGCTCCGTTGCACAGGAGGCGATAAGTCTAGGGACCCCTCTGGATTATTGCACTACTTTTGAAAAATGTGCTTGTTTTCAGACTCTATGTCTAAATTCTGGACTCCTTCTCTGGACTCCTTCTCTGGACTCCTACAGTCCCTGCACAGAGATACTTGCTCCTCTACTCTCATGAAAGCTCCCCAAGTTTACTTCCAAAGAAGGAATGCATGTGGTCAGAATTCAAATCATTGTATTGTGTGCTATTTGTTTGTAGTTCTCTGTACCTTGTTAATTGTTTGTTCATAACCTTTAATAAAAACTATTTGAATAAAAAATTTCTGACACATGAAGGCCTTAGCATACACCCTCTGCAGACACATAAAGGCCTTACCATACGCCCTCTGCAGACACATGAAGGCCTTACCATACACCCTCTGCAGACACATGAAGGCCTTACCATACACCCTCTGCAGACACATGAAGGCCTTACCATACACCCTCTGCAGACACATGAAGGCCTTACCATACACCCTTTGTGCACACCATCAGGAAACTAAATTGTGGTTAAGGGACTTCTATAAAGAGGCCCTGTCACCAGACCCTTCAGTTTAACAACAATCTTCCCATTTATATGTGCATTTAATATATTTTCAGCATGTCATTTACCTATAAAAGCTTTTCTTGTGTAGACATCCAAAAGCCCTGAGACTTCTGCTGGGTGTCGCCATCTTGGATGTGATGTTTAGAGCTGTTCAATGACACTTTACTGTATTTCTACAACCAACAGCCGCACCTTAGTACACGTAAGAATATGTAACAGCCTTCTCTTTTCTGCAGAACATCATCTTCATGGGAGATTTCAACGCCGGCTGCAGCTATGTTCCCAAGAAGTCTTGGAAAAACATACGCCTGAGGGCCAATCCCGAGTTTGTCTGGTTGATTGGGGATAAAATGGATACAACAGTGAGAAGCACGACAAGATGTGCCTATGACAGGTAACTGTAAAGCTGGGTACACACTAGTAGATTTTTTTCCTTTAGCTTTCGGGCATGTGGCTTTTGTATTTGGACAGTTGGCCCAGATGGCTGTCAAAATACATAAGCACTGCATGAGATTGGATATAGGCACTGTTTGGCTGACAATTTTAGCCACTGAGCGAATTTCAGCCAGGTTCATCACTGGCTGAAGTTCTGTCAATGTATAGTCCGCATATGGAAGACATTCTTCAAGGTAATCTTTAATCAAGCAAAACACCAGTGTGACTACTGACTAGGCTGTGACTGATAAAAGGCTATTTCCTGACTCATATGCTAGTTTTGGGGGAGATGAAGCGTATCCTAATTATTTAGGTGTTCTGCTTCCTCATAGTTTCCTTTACAGGGTTTTCTGACAAAACATGAGAAAATGAACTTACTGACACTACCCCACCACCTCTCCTGACCTCCCTGGCACATACCTGTGTGATCCCCCACCAGCACCCCCCTACCAAGTGTACAGTCACAGCCCCCCCTTTTTTTCACGTGCCGTGCCCGCCAGGAAGCCGACAGCGCGCAGCGCCAATCACAGGTACTGAGACATTTTCCCGGTCCACAGCTGCAGAGATCGGGAAATATCTCCGTGGCTGTAAATGGCGCTGCGCTCTCTCAGCTTCCTGGTGTGCTTGGCAAGTGGAGCCGCGAACACGCCGAGCCCATCACTAGTGTTTAATATGTTATGATAGGTCCACTTTAATAAAGAACCTGTAAGCCTATATTTAAACATGGTGGGTGATTTTATAAGCACCTAAAAGTGGAAAATTCTGAAACCTCTGCTGGAATGAAATGTCATTTATTTGTCCATTGTATTTTCATTTTTCAATACTTGGTATGTCATTTGCCTTGATGCATTGTTTATATGACTAGATTTAATGTGTTTTAAAACCTAACAATTAACTTCTCTAATTGGCTACGTTTTTGGTCTGTTAAATATACAAGTGAAAGTCTTGTTATGTCTGTTCAATAAATGAAAAAAAAAATACATGTAGATTATGTAAGAAACTCAGAGTCGTCCTTTGTAATCTTCCTGTGTTAACTCAAGGTATCTAATTAGGCCTCCCCTGTGATTGGTTATTTCAGGATTGTTCTGCATGGTGCGACACTGATCAGCTCCATAGTGCCAGACTCGGCGACTACATTTGATTTCACGCGGGCGTACAGATTAACAGAGGAACAGGTAGGGTGTTGATGGGTGGCAGGATAATCATATCCCCACTTACTGATAACAAATACTGTAGCCTCACACTTATTATGAGCTGACTCATACTTGTCCTTGTGTCCTTTTTGTAGGCCCTGGAGGTCAGTGATCACTATCCTGTGGAGTTCCAGCTGAATGAGCCAAACAATTCTCCTCGTAAAACATCTCGAAGACGAGATGGAAGAAGATGATACATTTTACGCATGGAGGAAGACGTTTATATATTTTACACTCAGTGCTTGATGTCAGGCCTAGATTTATAGCAATATATTGCGCTGACATATAATACATAGCTTACGATATACACCGATTTTTGCTAGTGCGTATATAGGCAAGATTCATCTTGATCACAATGGGGGTTCAGAGTTTTGTTTTTATCCCCAAACATCGATGAGTGTGAGAATAGTAGAACCAATAAACTATGCCAGGGGTGTCCCTAGAATATTCGCTGCCTAAGGTGGGGGGGCTGGTGCTGACGGTGCATATAAAGGGGGTGGGGGGTTAGATGTGCTAATAGAGCACATTGCGGGGGGTCACTAATGTCACTGGTTGCTACAAGCTGGGCGGGACGCCAGCCAGAGCGTCACTGGTCGCTAAAAGCTCTAAGCTACCTGGGACACTCTGGCCAAACAGGAGGTGGCAGGCACACCAGCCGCCCCCGCCCACCTTGATCCAATGAGATGCTGCCTAACAGTCCCAAACAGTGCTCTCGTGGACTTTTGAATAGTTGATAAGAAGGGAAATACCAAAGTAATGTGTCCAAAAACCGTCTTTATTGATGTATGTGCATTGTGTCATAAGAAAGGCAACATTTCAGGGCCTTCAGCAGGCTTAATGAAGGGACCTTGAGTGGCCTGGAAACATTGCCTACTTTGGTGTGCTGGTGACATACTGTATTATTCTGGATTCAAGCAGCGCCATCACCCATCTCCGAGGGGCATACTGGTAAGGAGAGCAGTCACTTCATCACCCATCTCCAAGGGGCATGCTGGTAAGGAGAGCAGTCATTTCAGCACCCATCTCCAAGGGGCATATTGGCAAAGAGAGCGGTCACTTCAGCACTCATCTCCAAGGGGCATACTGGTAAGGAGAGCAGTCACTTCAGCACTCATCTCCAAGGGTCATACTGGTAAGGAGAGAAGTCACTTCAGCACTCATCTCCAAGGGGCATGCTGGTAAGGAGAGCAGTCACTTCAGCACTCATCTCCAAGAGGCATACTGGTAAGGAGAGCAGTCACTTCAGCACTCATCTCCAAGGGGCACACTAGTAAGGAGAGCAGTCACTTCAGCACTCATCTCCAAGAGGCATACTGGTAAGGAGAGCAGTCACTTCAGCACTCATCTCCGAGGGGCATACTGGTAAGGAGAGCAGTCACTTCAGCACTCATCTCCAAGGGGCATGCTGGTAAGGAAAGCAGTCACTTCAGCACCCATCTCCAAGGGGCATACTGGTAAGGAGAGCAGTCACTTCAGCACCCATCTCCAAGGAGCATACTGGTAAGGAGAGCAGTCACTTCATCACTCATCTCCAAGGGGAAAGATGCACTTTAAAGTTGTCAACAAGACACTGCCATAAACAAGATAATAAATAAGGATTAGGCACTGCAAGGTGCATATTAGTAGCACTTCTCTTAAAATTCATCTAACCAGTATAGGAGCTCCTTACCCTAGATCAGGGATAGACAACCTGATTACTCCAACCTGATCTCTGCAAATGTGTCAGAGTCTTTCAAATCCCCAAGGGGCTTGTAGTTCCACAACAGCTGGAGTGCCACGGTTGCCTACTCCTGCCCTGGATAAACCAGGAAGCTGTGTACTGCCAGCTGACCCTTCTTTCATGGGTTCCCAGGGTTCCCTACAATGGAGTCTAAAGGAAATGGCGCTGATCCCACCTGGGTCTATTGTTATCAGAAATCTTATTTTTTGGCGTAGTGATCTTTTAGGTTTATCCAACAGATAGAAGCTCGCACAGGAGCTCTTCTCCCTCACTCTCATCACTGTTTATTTTAATAGATAAAAACAATAATATAACAGTAAGATACTGTACTCAATAAGACACAAATCAGTTCTTCTTTCCACTTCCTATAAATACGATGATGCTATTAATGATGTGAACACGCATAACACTCTTGGGCAAATTTGGCATATCTTTTGTATAATCAATAAATAAAAGCTTTAATATAGTGATGGATAATGAGCTCTGTTATTCCTCTAAGAAGTAAGTAGAATGGAACCGGAACTGTTGGGCCGGTAAGTTGGCACAAAACCAAGCAGTCTTGTGTGCAGCTCACTAGAAATGTTTTTGCCAATTCAGCAGTTAATAGCCTCTCATGAAATTCTATAGAATGCTACACTGAGGTAAAATAATGGCTCTTCTTGGAGTTAGCTACACAGGTGAGAGTAACAAGCGTCAGCACAGCACTGGGACTTTAACAACACTTCTTAACACTGCTTAATAAAGTGCAGGAACTTCAGTTTAGGGTTGTCACCTGTCCACAATTCACCCGGACAGTCCGGGTTTCATGGCAGCAGAAACCCAGACACAACATGTCAGGCAGACAGGGGCAACCAAAATTAAGATAGGGGCTACTTGCATCCCACTAAAATCTGTCTCAAGTGTGATATTTACATATGAATGGGTGACGCTATTTACATATGAATAAGCCACGACTCATTCTCCCAAAAATATGTCTGCACGTTGCTAGAGTGCTCGGGTATCGCTTGAAGAAAAAGGTGGCAACCCTGCTTCAGTTACAATAATGGATGACCGTCTTTTTCCACGCAACAGTAACAAAGCTCTCACTTAATATTAGTCCAATAACAGCAATACATTTTAAACCATTTCCGGAATAGCAGTTCCTATTTCTACAGACAGGCCTTAGGGCCTTCAAGTATATTATATGATGAAATGTTTGTGGACACCTGACCATCACACCTACACTACCTGACCTCATAGATGCTCTTTTGGCTGAGGGGACACAAATGATCACAGACTCATTACAAAACCTGGTTGAAAGCCTTATAGGAAGCTCTTATAGCCACAAAGCTCCATATTAATGTCCATAGTTTTGGAAGGGATGTCCAACAAGCTTACATACTGTAGGTGTTATTCCACAATGAGGAGCTCTCTGGCCGCCTGGTGTTTTGTCAACAGGTTCCCTGTGCACCTTTGACTATGACCAGCCCATGGCATCAGAACATACACTGTACTCCTCACCACTTAGCCTTGAAAATAGTGCCGACATGTAAATGTCATTACTCATGCCCATATAAAATAATTTCCTTGTGATGTCACAGAGAGATGATCTCATCTCCACTTTGTGTGGTCTACGGAAGGCAGCAAGGTGACACAGGAAGCACAGAGTTAATGGCTATGTGCTAATGGTGTCACCTGTCATGTGGGTGCACATTGTTACAGTGTTTTTAGTAGGGGCATGCTGAAATCTGAACAAGGCCACAAATAATTGTCACACTCAGATAATACTAAAAATACTAATATATTTGCTTTGAATTCTGAAAGTGTAACTTTTGTTGTGGATAAAGTGATGAGCGATAAGAACAGATATCAGGTTTTTATTGCGCTCTCTATTTGTGCAGGTGAACACTGTCATCAAAACTAGATGCAGCTAAGTGACATTAACTGTTTAATTTATTTTCTTTTTAACTTTTGACAGTCCACAGAAACAAATAATAAAAGAAAAAGCATGGGGTTCTCGACCAGGCCACATGCCCTCAACATGGGGAAGGTGCTTTGTTAGGGGAGACCCCCTGGCAAAGGGGGGCTTATAGGAATCTGGGTGCCGCCTTTCATAAAGGGGGCACCCAGATGCGGCTCCACCTCCCACAAATGATTAAGAGGTAGTTGTTACCCCTACTCATTCACCAAATACACAGTAAAAGAAGTAAACGCACCACACCGTGAAAAAAACCCCCACAACGCAAGTCTATTATTTACACACGAAATGTCCATCGATGTAATCCGAAGGCCAATCACGTCGTTCAGCGATGTAGATGCATGTCAATCAAAATCTCCACCGCTTTGACTGAACCCGACGAACACCGCCCAGAAAGTGACAGTTCTGCTCCCGCATATCAACAAAGGGGCGGAGCAAGTCGTGACATCACGGGATTTGATTACATCCCATTAGGGGAGAGAGAGCTGTCACAAAATGTAACGCTCTCCCGTCCCCCTTTCCTGCTCTGCCAGGCTGTTGCTCAGATCAAATCTTACCAGCTTTAAAGGATCTGGTATGAATTGGGAAGGGGGCTCCATGCTGTTTATTGGTATTACTGGTATGAATTGAGAAGGTGACTCCATCCAAGTTGATTCCGAATGACATTGGAAAATTTGGATACGTTCATATTCGTTATTTTTTCATTCGGATGCATCTGAATGTCTGAATTTGCAGACATTCGTCAGAATTTTAATTTGGAATGAAATGAATAGCACATGTCTAATCAGAACAGCATGTAAAGAGAAATCCAAAACTGGGCTTTCAGTAGAACAAGATTAAAAGAAAAATCTTCCAAGGGTGGGAACTTGTTCTGGCGACAACTATCCAAGGGGGCATTTCCTCTACCCTTCTGTTGTTACAACAAAATACCCACAATGACAAAATGTAACATTCCCTACTCTATCCAAAATAAAAGTTTTGGCTTGGGATGTACTTTATGAACTCTGATCAGGGTTATTCACAAAAGGGTGAAGAGTTTGGAGAAGGCAGGAGAAGTGAACAATCTAGGACAACATAGCTGAACTGTAAAGTGAGCTGAATTGGAGATATTTTCCAAATCAGCTATGTTGTCCTATATTGTTCACTTCTCCTGCCTTCTCCAAACTCTTCACCCTTTTGTGAATAACCCTGTGATGGCTCCATGAGTCATCAGCCTAGGGTTCCTCCAGAATGTGCTAGGGGTCCCTTGAGCAAGGAGCAATTTATGCCTTACAGATAAGTTCCCAATGATATATTTCAGATATGTGTAAGATGAGGACACTTTTCATTGACCACAAATGTAAAGAGCATAATTCCCACTGACCACCACACTAATGTACAGTGAGCTGTAGTGTAATTATTAGCATGGGTTCCATGAGTTCAGAAAGTTATATCAAGGTTTCCTTTCACAAAGAAATGCTTCACAAACAACAACAAAGACAACATTTTGGGACCGCACAGGGTTCCTTTCCTCAGGGTGACACAGATCCCATCACTATAGAACCTGGAGCAGCTGTGCATGGCAACCAATCAGCTTCTATCTTTCATTTTCAAAGCTTGACTGAATAAACTGAAGATA